TAATTGAATTTAATCAAACAATCATATTAATTATGACTGAATTGGATCGTATTTATATTTGGGACCACATATTTTACATCATTGTTCATATGGAAAATGTATTCCATAATTTGGGTTGAGCCTTTAATGTAGTTTTCCGTATAATTACAAATAAACAAAATGTATCTATTCAGTGTGCAGAGTTAGCAATAACGCACACAGGGTGCTTCTTTGTAGGGCTTTTGTCAGGTACAATTTGGATATTGCATACTTGCGAGCTGACCAACGCGGAACAGTATGACATGTGGTTATAAAGAGATCATGAGAGTATGTTAGTAACTCTTTCCTTTGTACTTGTGATGGCATATAAATATACTGGTACGTATAGGCTGTGGTAACTCTTGAATCAGCAGGATTCTCACTTTTTGCTATTATATTCTGAGAACTGCTCAAAGGATGTTCCAGACTCCCTCAATTAGATTTTATAGAAAAATTAGAAGTCGTATTTTTACAAAATAAAACCTTGGAATGAATTGGATCTTGAAACCTTTGCTGCAGTTGGCTTTAAAAACGTAAGCATTAGTGAGAAAACAATAATTATGAGTTTCAAAACTAGCACCCTGTGTGTAGAACATGGCAATGTATTCCCTAAAAATTCAGAGAGTACGATAAAGAAAAATGAGAAAAAAGTACGAAAGCCTACCCCTCCCACCGGTGTAACTTTGGGATGCTGCGGAAAATTATTGTAAATCTTAAACAAAACGCCTTACTAGTGTACTCTGTCTGCATGCATTCTTTTCTTCGCAATCTATTAGACTTTAGCTATATGTAGCACAACAGGCACACCCTTGGAAGATGGACTTTTAGTCGAAATGGTTCGTGAATTATTAAACAAACTTATTTATTCAAACTCTATGTACGTACTCGTAAATAGCAACATAGCACTTTTCATCATCGTATGTCGTCTTCAATAAAGTAAAAAACTACAAACATGTTTTGAAGTTGCGCATTTTATCAACCATTATTGTCTATACACATGAACAGTTTAAGTTTCTATCTCGATAGAACATTTTGTTAAAAAAATCCAATTTACAACGTCATGTGATCATTTTTTGAATCTCATGTTATATGGCGATCTAGTTATTCGAATGTCATGCAACACTGTTCTTATTTTTCTGATAATAAGCACATAAAAGCTTATGCTACACGTACGAAATCATATTTAGAAAGAAGTATCAAACATTAATTATTTCATAGTTTTATATACTTCAGAATCTGTTGTTTTGTACGTAATTGATGATCCTCATCAAAACTTATCAACGATTTAGGCTTACCAAGTTGTAAGCCCTAAAGATAATAGTGTTAGCATGGGAATACAAGCGCGCCTATGTTGAATCAGTTACCTAATAAAACCACTAAAATGCAATATCAGATTGTTAGCGAAATTGAACCCAAATACACATCGAATGGCTAAAATGTGTTCCCTATAAGGTGACAATTTTGGCGGGATGTGTGGGATATGGGAAAAAGAAAACGAAATCAATAAAGGGTGGTATTGAATCATGTTTTTGGTTAAAGGATAAATATGATATTTTATTAAATGTGTGTAAAAATAGCTGACAAGTGATTAGAATCAGTACTTTCCGTCTGTAAACTATTTGTGGATCATAGAATCAGTGAAATTTATATTCACCAGAAATAAGAAGGCCTAGGAAATTATAAACAGCATGTGATCGTCAATCAGAATTGTCATGTATTGGTATTTCTCAACTGTAATTATCTACAGTTTGCAATTTTTAAAACCATAATTAGAGAAAATTAAAAATCTATATAAAAAAGCCTTACATTTTCCTAAAACGAACGAAAACTTGAGATATATCCAAAAGCGCAAGTATGGTAGATGACACGTCATTAAAAGACCTTAATAAGGAAATACATCTCATAGGCTCAAGCGCAAAGTGCAAAATAACTCGAGACACTATACAGGGTGTTTCAGAACTAAGGGATCAAACGTGTAGGGGTTATTCAGTGTAACAGTAGAAAACATTTGAGTATAGGGACTCATATCCGGAAAAGTGTCACTACGGCAGCACGGCCCTAAGACGCGTAAAAATGTATAAAGACGATGAATTGCATAAATAGAATTTAATGAATTTAATTTTTGCCTCTTGTACATGATATCATCACAACAATTGTTCAAAATGTCTTCCTCCAACCTGAATACATCTATTTAAACGTCGCACGTGATTTCGGCGGACTTGACTAAAAATTTGATACTCATTAAATCCTATTTAGTCAATTTATCTCAAGTTTGATCCCATAGTTCTGAAACACCCTGTATAAACCAGCATGTATTTACGCAAACACAATGGATTTTATATCTAAGTATGCTTCATAACTGAGGCAGTCAAATATACTTTGTAATATAATCTCCGCTCAGAAACCTCCCAGCTGAAGAACATATAAAGTAACAACTTCCATCTCAATGACTTTATTAGAAAAATTTCCGGGAAACGCGCAGTTATGTCACCTTAGCTCAGTCAAAGTGGTAAAGCCACTCACTTACAACGTTAAGAATTGATCAAATTTTTCACATTTTCAGTTGTAGTAGGAGTAACTTGTTTTTCTTACTTAAAATGTCCACGATATATGTGCAGAAAGTACCAAAAATCGATCAACGTATCTTTGCACATCCATACAAATTATGTACGTCAAGATGATTTCCGCCATAAATGCACCCATGCAGATTCTTAACGTTAAGAAAGTTTTTTTAAATATGCTGACAGGTAGCTATAAAGTTCGGCGAAGTTATAATAATTGAGACTTTTGATATTATTCCCAACTTTGCACCAAAATTAAAACTTCTATCTTTCTATTTTTTTGTGGTTAACTCAGGCATGCACTATAATGTTAGAGTTCACTTATATTAATAATGAATCAAAGATGTAAATCCGTCTCTAATTTTCCCAACCGTTTTGTTATTTCGACTGGATTAACTAGAGGTCCGTTTTGCAAGCGCGTGCCTTTCAGTGCATGTACGTTACAAGATGTTATGAAGTTTTGCATGAAATATGGAATGCTTATTATATACGTTATAATATATAGTATATGGTGGCTTGGAACGAGTGTCTGCATATTCTGTCTTTTTGAGTGTACGAGCAGAGTGTTTGCTAATACCTATCCTTCTTCCCTACTTTTTCCATTGAACAGGGTGACAACACAGGTATAGGACTAGAGAAATACAGGAGTTTCATGTTACTACGATATGAATTGAGTCCAGTCCGTTGAAGCGTTCTGGATCAGCTTACCTATTCAGTTTGTTTTAGGTTTTTATTCTGGGTAAGCGTCCGTTCTCAGTTGCTTGTTTGTCACCCTGTACACTGTTGAATGACCACAAACATAGTTTGACACAGTTTAAACTTCACTTTAGACTTTACACATGCCACTAAAAGCTCACACAATATACTATAAGCAACAACTTGCTTTCACACTACACAACAGATTCTATAGTGGTGAGTGCTAATAATGACTGGAATAGCTTATGATTCACTTTGAGACGAAACAAGTTTTTACCCAAGAACAATTTGCAATCTCTGTGTACTGATGAGTCTAATAAAGAAACCTTAAACTATTATGAGGAAATTCTTGGTATAACCGAAGATATTGAAACGGAACTGAACAAAAACTTATACACTAAATGTCTCAGAGTAGATCTAGTAACTACTCCGTTTATTGCTAGCAGATCATCTGGTAACACGCTACATACAATATAGACATAGGATATAGAACAAAAAAGTGCGAGATTCATCAGGATCGAGAACAAAGCATACACTTTTTCGATTTTGCACTGATCTTGCAGATATGTCCAATTTGGCATGTTCCAAAACATACATGTGTTAACTAACCAGATCAAAAGATGTCAAAACTAATGTTTTCAATGTAACTTGGGTCATACCACATATTCTGTGGTTTTATAATATTTTTACGATAAAGCGATAAAAAATAACCACAGGAAGTTCCACTGATATCTGTCACTATTACATTTTTGCAATGTTATTTTTCATCGCTAAAAATTTAGTTTCAGTGATGAATAGATTTGCCATATGAAGATATTGTTTCGGCAAATATATTTTTATTTCTGTGATTCTTAATTTTTCATCAGCGTAAAGAATAGTTGCGCAGTTTTGGATAATATTGCTTAGGATGATAAGATATAAGATTTAGAACTACTAATCCATACAATACACTGGCAACTTAGGACTCCATGTCCATTATCTAAGCTAGCTATAAAAGTAACGAAAACATTTTAGTTCAATGATCAAGCATATGCCAACCAAGAATATGTGGAACTCGAGTTACTGGAAAGAAGCTAAAGAAAAACTAAAGATATCGACCTAGCACATACAGACGGTGGATAGCGTATAGATATTATACATATATACATGGTCAGAATGAACCCTGATAATTTAAATTATAAGACGTATATATTAATTTCATCTTGTGAACATCAATTCGACTTTTTATTCAGTTTTTCATTGTATGTTTTGACTTGAAACTACAACCAAGATCCAGCGCTCTGTCTGGAGCACCGCTTTCTATGTCCCAGCAAAAAAATAGAAATCACAGAAAATGAATAAACTGGCTTACTCCTGTCCTGCTCTTTACAAAAACTTCCAACTTGCTATAAGTGCTTTATTAGTTTTATGTGCTAGCCAATGGCCAGAGAAAGTGGACAATTTATATCTGTTTTGGATCGTTTCAAAGTATTTTTTTTTATAAACTGTGCAAGTTGTATACAAATATTGATAATTTTACTACAGTTACAAATATTAATATTACGATTACGACGTACTCATTAAATTATGAGATTCTTTACAAAAATCAGTTCGTAAAAGAACGTTTTTGAAAAAGCAAGCGTCTGAATATTTGCCGTGTACTAGGTCGATACAAAATCGTGCGGAAGTCAGTTCAAATATTAATATATTGTTCTCCTTCCTACTTTTGAAAAAAAAGGAAGAACACGGTTAGTAAATATGAGAGGGCTTGCAAAAAGCCGGTTCCGAAAAACTACATCCTTACTGCTGGCAATCATTCGCAAGAAGACAGTTTAGATAATAACAAGATACACACTCTAGGTCCCGGAAGTATAACGTCTTTTGGGTAAGTTGGCTGTTGGTGGTGGCGGAACTCCTTGGTCTGTTATTCTGAACAAAAATTAAACAAATTAAAGAATATTCGGAAAACACAGTGTTCTTAATATGTTAATATAGCCTCTAAATTTATCAACGACTGATTTATTCCTCCATATCAATTGTTTATAAAGATGGTGAACAATATACGTGTTCTACAGTGAGTTTAAGAAAATTTCGTGAATAACTTCTACGTCCACAATTTTTTTGCAGTAAATTATAAATGACGCGCATGCATCAGTGGCAGATCAAATTAACTCGAAAAACTACAGAAAGCGCCGATTTTTTCGTACTAACGATAAAGAAATAGAAAATTTAATTACGATAACTTCAAAACGCACGAGTTCTTTGACAAAAATTTTATTTGGAAAATATATAGAACTACGCCACTGGATTCCTCTTCAAAGAAGAAAAAAGGTGAGATGTTCGACTCACTAGCCCCTCAAAATTCTGGATTAAAAATAACAATTTCACAACTTTCGTTATTGTTCCTTTCAAACAATAACCCTAGTTCCGCCACTGAAAGATAAGTTTTGATCTGGAGGAACGTAGATTGGAGAGAGGATTCTTTCAACAAAAATAATCGGTCATTTTAAGCATATACTTTTGAAAGTGGTGAAGAAGTTGATGGACTTTGAACAGCATATCTGCAGTAAATTAACCACATTTAAGACTGCATTAAAGAATGTCTCCTAATTATTTACTATTTAGATGTAAAGGACCTATGTTCAACCTGACTGTAGATATAAATCAGAATCAATAGAGCTTTTGAAAAATTTCAAATAGGCTTCAGCTTAGAATCAACCAATCACCTTCAAGTATGTAATGAAATCTGATCTAAAAGAGTTGACCAAGGTTTTATAAACTTCCTGTTAATCAGTATCGAATGTCTAGGTACTATAGCGGACCATATAATGGAACGGCTCTGTATTCTTCAAGTGAGGTATTTTTGAAAAAGTCGATTCTACTAACAAGGGTCCAATACGACATTGAATTTGACCTTGAGTCCCATCTTCAAGGTTGTTGACACCGTTCATCGAAATAACGGAATATTTTACCGCCAAATATGTATTAAACTTCAAGGTCACTGTCACCTCTAAAGCTCAATGAAGGTCAAATGTAGATAATAGTGATTCAAATATCGGTTATTTATTTTTATTTCCATTTTATATTGCTATTGAAAGCCATCTTAAACCTTATTTTATACATTTGCTCTATAAAACTGCTAGTACTAACTAATAAAAATTAGGAAAGTACGCAGCAAATTCAAAATATCGAAACGCAATGCTATTGGCATGACGTCACGATATTGGCAAATGAGCAACCAATAGTTTGTCGCTGTTATTGATTGTCAGTCTATCAGTTTGATCAGTTCCATGAGTACTGGATGACGGGAAATTTGCTACCGAGCGGTCTAACTACAATGGGTTACGCCCCGTTTTTTAGCATAGATGTCAACACCGTTTGATAGCGAACGTGCTGTCAAAAGCAGGAGAATTTCGCCGCCAAGACATTGGAAAAACAACAATAGAAAAAAGAACCTTCAAAATCAGCAAATCATGAAAGTAAATTAATCAAACGTAGAATAAAATGACAAAACATAAGCAGTTTCAAGCGATGACCCGTGATAAACAGCGGTTGATTCTTGTTTATGCCCTTGATTATTCTGTCATTTGCCCTTTTGACACAGAACATAGAGCTGAGAACGAGGTTGCTATATGTAGCTGTTTTGTGGTCCAACGTCAAGTATTGTAAATATAATTCAAATATGAATAAATAATTTACTGTGATATCAACAACGCACCTAATTACTTTTAATTGTGCACAAAGAAGCAATGGATGACTCCATATAAAATCAGTAGTTCCTCGCCCATTGTTATCTGAACTTTTTACAGAAAATTGTTCACAGGTGTTACAAAACAAACATATAAGGCACAAAAAAATAAGAAAGGGTTATGTTATATTCATGCCTTGACATTTCATAGTCAGAACCGTACAGAAAACACCACGTGTGCAAGGTTGTTGTTGATCTTAACCAACAGTAACGGTGACGTCACGAAGGGTTACAAACCGCGTCGCTTAAAATGAAAAAGTTAAAACCAAACAGGACCTGTTATTATTGGTAGATCGCCTAAAATTGATGAGTTGTGACTTACTGCAAAGCGCACGAAAAATGTGGCATTTAAATCAACGTCATTGGCATTACACTTTTAATTATCTAACTGAAAAAAACATTTTCCGTGTTCACGGTATTATATTTACGTAAATAATCGACAGAGTCTCAAGAAAAACATGCATATTTTCTGTTAATAAAGAAATATATTCTATGAATTCTCCCTGTCCTCACTCATTTTACCTTCAGAGGTGATCTTGATCTTAGGTTTCAATACATATTCGGATGCATGATTTTCCATTCTTCCGATTAGCGGAAAGCTAAGTTGACCGTGAAATAACCTTGAAGGTGAGACTCGAGATCAAATTCCAGGTCACTATTGGACTCATTGCTCAAAGTTAGCATGGATCTGACCTTGACGTTCAGAATTACCTTACCTTATTGCAAATTCGGGCAGACAAATGAGTCTATACATTGGTTTGAAATTCTCTTATTAAAACTTTTAATGTTAGCAGTACTGAACAAGCAACAATCAGTACAGGTAAAAAATGGATAGAACGCCAAAAAAAGGCATTGTCGTACTCAATTTTGCATCCGAACAGGCTGTATTCAGCTCGGGATACGAACACCAGCAGTTACTAACTTTCGCCAGTGATATTTTTTTTTTTTTTTTTTTTTTTTTTTTTTTTATATCGAAACAGCCGCGCAGGCAGAAGCCTAAATGCCGGAACACCGCGACTGCTATGATGATCCCAAAGAAATTTTGTTAATACGATTTTTGAACTGCTTAAGGTTAGTAGAACTGGGAAAAGCTTCCTCCCGTAGTTTGTTCCACAATCTAGACACCCTCGGGACAAAGGAGCGGTCGTATCGGCCAGTTCTGGATGTACGAAGTTTGACACGGTTAGGATGGGACGCCGTAGTCAGGCGGGTCTGTCTGGCAGGCACATCGCGCGGCGGCATCATGGAAGAGAGCTCTGAGGAGCAAAGCCCGTTGGTGTAGCGATAGAAAAGAGCTAGATCGCCGACGGCCCGCCGATGCGAAAGAGTCCCGAGACTGTCTGTTAGAGAAGAGTCATCGATCAGTCGGACCGCCCTCTTCTGGACAGCATCGAGCATGGACAATGTAGTCGGGGCGGCAGCACCCCAAATGTGTGAGCAATACTCGAGGCTAGGCCTTATCTGGGCCTTGTATAGAGTGAGAAGGTCATGCGGAGAAAAGTACTTCTTAGCCCTAAACAAATAGCCTAGCTTTTTCCCAGCAGCTGCAGCTATTGAAGAGATGTGTTCATGCCAGATCAGGTCCTCGGTGATCTGGACTCCGACCAGCCGAAATGAATGGCTCTTTGGTAGGACTCGACCGTCCATCGAAACTGTATGGGCGCTAGGACGCTTTTTGTTCGTCAAAGTACAGTACTGTGTTTTGGAAGCATTGAACTGTACAAGATTGTTGCGTCCCCAAGCAGTGATAGCCTCCAGGTCTCTTGTCAGAGAAGAAGTCGTCGCTAGTCTTCTTTTTTCCAGCTCAGCGGCAGAGATCGGCTTGTCACTCTGAATTCCTGCATGTAGAGTGCTGTCATCAGCGAAGCTGTGGATTGGGTTGATCGTGCAGGAAAGGAGGTCATTGATATGTAAGAGAAACAGTGTTGGAGCCAAGACCGATCCCTGGGGAACACCCGCGTTGACGTTGTGGGATGAAGAGGAGAATCCGTCAATTACGACGGATATCTTGCGGCCAGAGATAAAGTCAGCCACCCATCTGCAAAGCTTTTCTGGGAGGCCGTAGGATGGAAGTTTGCTCAAGAGGGCAGCGTGCCACAGCTGATCGAACGCTTTCGTGATGTCAAGAGCAACGACATGAGCCTCACCATGAGACTGGATGAGTTTACTCCACAGTTGCGTGACGTAAGCTAGGAGGTCCCCTGTGGATCGTTCGTGCCGGAAACCGTACTGCCTGTCGCTAATCAAGCTGTGACGTTCGAGGTAGTCCAGAAGCTCGCGATTTATGCACCTCTCCATCGCTTTACTTATAACAGAAAGCAGAGCTATAGGCCTGTAGTTGTAAGGGTCGGTTTTAGATCCTTTTTTTGGGATGGGCTGTACATGAGCAAATTTCCAGTTTTCTGGGAAGGTGCCGGATTCGTAAGATATCTGGAAGAGACGCGAAAGAACTGGAGCAAGCTCAGCTGCACATCTCTTCAGTACAATGGCAGGAATCAAGTCCGGACCAGAAGCTTTGTTGATGTGGAGCGACAAGAGCACTCGTCTTACGGTCTTATGCCTGAATGTTACCTCCCGCATAGTGTGGGGAACCCTTTGAATTGACGGCACTTGGGCGTTGGTGGGGACGTCCATGGTGGAGTTGGCAGCAAAGATCTTGGCTAGCACTTCCGCCTTGGCCTTTGAGTCGAATACAATAGTTCCATCCTGACACGTAAGTGGTGGAAGGCTACTGTGTGAGAAGTTCTTTTCAATCTGCTTGGCCAGCGTCCAGAAAGACCGACTGCCATTGCGCTGCGACATTACCCTGTGCCTAACTTTTATATCATGCTGGGTTTTGGCATTGCGAACCGCTTCGTTATATTTGTTTCTGGACTCGACGTCGGCTTGTCTGTTCTCTACAGTGGGGTTTTGTAAGTAGGTTCTGTGGGCCTTGATCTTCTGCTGGCGAGCAGTGTCACACGATTTGTTGAACCAGCCGTTGGACCCTGGTTTAGGAACTTTCACTGTGTGAGGGATGTATTCCTCCATTCCGACGTGGATAATTTCGGTTATTGAAGAACAGACAGTCGACGCATCCGCATCAGTGAAACAGACATCTCTCCAAGGAAAGCTAGAGAAGAAGTCTCTGAGCCCCTCCCAGTCGGCATGTCCGTAATGCCAAGTTTTGCGGCCTGTGCGA